CTGGGCTCAGATTGGGTTTGAATCTCCCCATTTCCTAACTACGTAACCCTGGGGAACTTCCCTCACATTTCTGCACCTTAGTACTCTCATCTATAAAATGGAGATAGTAAGTGTTATTATTGATGTTACTATAACATTATTATTATAAATAATAATATAAAATAACCATTTCATGAGGCTAAAATGAAATACTTCATAGTAAAGCGCTTAGAACGGTACTCAGCAAATGGTAACTACTTTTTTGAGTATTAAGTACCAGGTACCAGGCTGGGGGCTGAGGCTGTACAGATGGGTTGCCTAGGTTTCTGCTCAGGGGCTGTGGTGGAGACAGAGACATAAGCAGATGGCTGCTCTGGAGTGTGACAAAAATGAATCCACTCCAGGCTGTTAGGGATGGATGTGGCTTTTTGAAGAGTAAGAAGAAGAAATAAGAGGTAGCTCAGAATGTCTAGGTGTAGGGTAGGAGGGAACAGGGAGGTGGGCAGAGGCAGGATTGAGTTGTTGAACTTCATTTTGTATGGAGAGCAACTGAAAGATTTTTCAGATGTCAAAGTATAGATCTGAGCCTTAGATACAGAGATCTAGAGGCAGTTGGAGGAGAAGAGGCCCAGGGTTAAAGTCTAGGACACCAACACTCAGTGGTGGGCAGGGGAAAGGAGGAGGGGCCGGGAGAGAAACAGAGAGAAGCCTGGGTGGTGGGGCGGGGAGGAGGCCCCCAAGGGGGGCAGAGGGCAAGGAAGGAGGGCAGGTGGAGGGAGGGGGCGGATGGGTGCTACAGCCGCTGGAGGAGGGGTCCTGTGGGGGGATGACTCTAACTGGTCCTCACGTGCTTTCAGCATGATGTCTGGAGTGGCCATTCCAAAGACTGTTCCTTGGGACCTTGGGTGGGGGTGTCATCACACTCCCCCAAAGCAGGTACCCCTGCTCCAGGCGTGCAGGGGGTGGCTGTAACCGATCCGCAGGTCTGCCACCTGACATTTTCTCTGCCAACATCTGCACCTGGCTTTTTTGAACTGTGACTGTGGATAACGGCTTTTGCCCTGACTGAAGGTGCTGTGGGCGTCAGTCAGCAGGTGGGCTTGGCCCTTGCGGTCTGACTTCCTGCCTCCGCCTTCCTCCACCATCCCCGTGCCAGCCTACAAGCCGTGACTTTGCCCCTAAAAGCCTGCACTGTGTGATCCTTCCGCTGTTCAGAAAACTCCCCCAAACTCCTCTGTTTGCCTTTCCCCTGCTGGTGGTCATCACCTCCCCCTAATCTCCGCTTGCCTCCAACTTTGCAGTTTGCTCTCTGGCTCTCTTCTTGGTTGCTTTAGACATCTCTCACTGATGAGACCACCACCTGCTCCCCGTCACTGCTCAAACCGACCAGATCTTGTTTCTCCGTGACTCATTCCTGCTGCAGAACCTACTTCTGAGCCCCCAACCATTTCCACCCCATCCTGCATACAGCCCAGTCCTGCATGTACCTCTGAGACATTTGACCTCAGTGTCCAGAATCCTCAGGTGCTCAGGCCTGTTTGGAGAAGAGGTCATGTGACTTTTCATTGAAATGTGAAATAAACACACACTCCATTATTTAGCGGCTAGTCTGTACTAGTAATTCCCACCCAGGGGAATTTTGTTTCCCCATCCCCAGGGACGTATGACAATGTTTGGAGGCATTTTTTTTTGAGACAGAGTCTCAAGCCATCACCCTGGGTAGAATGCTATGGTGTCATAGCACACAGCAAACTCCACCTCTGGCTCAAGCCATCCTCTTGCCTCAGTTTTTCTAGTTTTAGTAGAGAAGGGGGTCTCGCTTTTTGCTCCGGCTGATCACAAACCCATGAGCTTAAGCCATCCACCCTGCTTGGCTTCCCAGAGTGCTAGGATTACAGGTGTGAGCCACCACGACCAGCCAAGTTTATTTTATTTTTTTAAAGTTTTGGTTGGGGCTGGGGTTGAATTTGCCATCCCTGGTACATGGGGCTGGTGCCCTACTCCTTGAGCCACAGACGCCACCCTAGGAGACATTTTTGGTTGTCATAGCTGTTGGAGGGGTCCTGTCGTCATCCAGCAGGCAGAGGCCGTGGGTGCTGCAAACACCCTGCCATGCCCAGGGCGGCCCCACCCAGTGTCAGTAGTGGATGGTGAGGAGCCAGTTTACACAAGGCCAAGCATTCTCTTTCTCATTCACCCTGGGTCACGCTGTGTCTCACTTGTTCTTGTTTAGTTACACTCAGTCATGTGCATAGAGAATTGGTTGAATTTGCAAGTAGTTTTTTGCCATCATGGTTTTCTAGCTTGCTTCCTTCCTCCCTTCCTCCCTCTTGTCTTGTCTCACTCTGACACCCTGGGTAGAGTGCCGTGCAGTCATTGCTCACAGCAACCTTAAACTCCTGGGCTTAAGCAATTCTCTTGTCTCAGCTTCCTCAGTAGCTGGGACTTCAGGCATGTGCCACAATGCCCAGCTAGTTTTTCTATTTTTAGTAGAGATGGGGTCTCGCTTTTGCTCAGGCTG